CTTCCTCACTGGCTGTCCCCCATCCTGCTGTGCTGGTATCGCCTTGCCATGGGTGACAAACTGAGCAGGCTAGGAATTGCCATTACTTTGTCTTCCTTCAGCTACTTTTAACACACCTGAGTTTCCTGACTTTGTTCATTGGGTGGTCATACAGGCAGGTGCTGTTGGAAAATAACCATAGGAAAGAGATGCAGAACAGGGAACATGGGCTGATACTCCCCGCTGTGCTGGCTGGGAAGCTGCCTGCTCTCTTTACATAGCAGCCTGCAGATCATGCAGAGCAGGCGGATCTCAGGTGACAGGGAGCCTACCTGATTCTAAATCTTGCTTTTAAAACTAGAATAGCTTATTGATTAAATGCTTTAAAATGCACTTATACTGACTTAATATTGTAATGTTGGAGAGGAACAGGAATGGTGTTATTTAAAAATATAAGTGTGTTATGTACAATAACATATATATTTATACATGTATAGGAAATGCACTATTTAATACTATTTAATACAGCATATTTTGCTTGTATCTTGCTAACATCTCATAGAAAGAAAAACTTAGCTTATATTTGGGGAAAATGAAAGTTCTATACAGTGTAAATAGAACATTTAAAGATAATTCATTGATCTATAGGTGACAGGCAAATGCTAAATATTCAAACTCACGGTTTTGTAGCACAATAGATAGAGATGAAATAATTGTTCAACATACATTTTCTTCCTTTGAATCTCATGATTCTCATGAACCTGATGATTCTTATGAATCCAGCTTCTCAGATTCCACAAATTCAAGTGCATATGCATTACCCTCAAGATGCTGATAACTTCTAACACTTAAACTCCTTTTTCAAACAAGCATTAACATCATGTTAGCTAGGGCCAGTTTCTGCCAGATTTTCTAAAGCTAGCTAAGAAACTTTATCGCCTTGCTCATCCAATGGTATTGCAGAATGTCACTCACTGTGTGCCAAGTTTCCCTGGTAATAGTATAAATGGGAGTTTTTTATTGCACTGAATCTTAATCCTGTGCAACTGTAAGTGAAAAGCAACACTTGACTGCCACCTAACATGACTGACTAGCTACTCCAGTTTCATCTTCTGCTTAATAAACCTTCTCTGGCAGTGAGATGGAATCCCAGCACATTTTCTAGTATACCTCTTTGCTTCAGGACAGTGCCAACTACAAAGAAACAGTTTCTGGCATATACTTGTCCAACCAGTTCTTAATAACTTGCCGTGGTATTTCTTTGCATGCAATATATTTTTGTGATATGGTTTCATCTGAATATTGCATATTTTGGAACAAGCTTATCATTCTGCTTCCTTGAAATTCTGAAGAAAAATATAATTGCTTTCAGATTGTGCCATTTTTCTACAATACCCCTCGTGAATTAATACAACTCAGACTTTCTCAACTTTACTGAGCAACTGTTTTGGGATGCAATCTGACATGCTGAATTTCAGTCTCAAGATAATTTACTGTAAGACCAGAGTGCACCACATGAACCAAATAACAGAGAATAGAACAAATCAAACTTGAAATGACTCACCACTGAAATACATGCTGTGACTATATGTGGTCATCCTGCAAGTATGACCTGTAAATAATTATTACAAAAAAATTAAATATTGGGAATTTCTGAAGGAAGACTCTGTTACCATCATTAAAAGGTAGCAAAATATTGCATGATGGAGGCAAAAACTGCTGCAGGTTCATCAGTAGATCACAGCAGGATTATTTTCTGTGGAGATTAAGAAAGAAAATTTAAGCTGAAAACACTGAGAATAATTACATATGTAAAAATCACCCTGAAAGGCATTTTCTAAGGTAATTGTTAATTGAAATGTTCAGCTTAGCAACTATTTGGCTTTTTAGCTTAGCTTTCAGGCAGCTTCATCATCTATCAGAACTAGTTCTAGCAATTGTTCCACGGGTTTCTTTACAACTACAACACATTTTTACTAACTAGAGGAAAACAAAACATTTTCACTTGTGAGATTCATTGGTTCCTCAGAAATTGCTCCTTCTGAACAAAATAGAAATCTTCAAATGCATTTATGTAAATATCTGAATCCAGGGTCAGATACTGAAGCTGCCTCCAGCTTTTCATTTGTCAGGACTAAATTTCCTTTTTGTTTCTTATTTTCTCTTGGAAACAATACTGGCAGAAAGACATTGGCCTGTTCTTGCAGTGAGAAAGGAGGATCACTTTGCTCTCCTTTCCTGCCTTTCAGGTTACAGGACTCCTCTTATGCGTCTGCCTATTCTGGGACCTGTTGCTTTTTTGTTATTTTCTAAGCAGGACGTTCATTCTCCATACAGGAAATGTGTTCTTTATTCTGAAAGAGACACTTCTGTATGAAGAACTTAAGACCCAGAAGCAGAAAGGTCCTAATTCCAGATAAAGTATCCATTTCAGGTATTCTGTTGTCTCCTTGACAAAGACTTAGGCCTGGCTGAGGACACACAGTATGAACACAGCTCTTTTAAAAAGCCTCCCTTCCCTTGGCACTACCCAATGCGGCACCTGTAGGCATAAAGAAACTGCTTAAATGCTGAGCACTGAGTTCTGTAGATGCAGCTGCACAAAACTTACGTAACAAACAATGTTATCTAACAGCAGCAATAGGGTTTGACAGATGCACCTGATAGAGCTGTGGTAAGAAAAGAGTGTACAAACCCACCAACTATTAAACACTGTATTATCTCATTGAAGCTTCTTCTCCTGCTCATCTTGTTCTACAACACAAAGGTTCTACGTGGGTTGATGGTGCACATAAGAGTCTCATTTTGCAACCAAGTTGTTCCTTAAATGCTGAACCTCAACAATGAAAGGAACCCCCTGCAAAAAAAGTGCTTCTAAACTTTCTACCTCTCCCCCCGCTCCCCGGAATCTGTAGCAGAGATATATGGCTTTTATTTAAAAAAAAAAAAAGTAATTATTGCTGATGATAGTTTATTTCAGTGCATCTAAAACTGCACATTGAGAAACACAGCTCTCCATGTGCTTTACCCACCAACAAGAAGGACAAATTCCACATGTATATGCAATAAAACTGTATTTTTGTGTGTTTTTGCCTTTTTTTTATACAGACATTTGTACACTTTCTTACAAAACTGCACGTAACTACAACTTTTCTTAAATCATTTTTGGTCGGCAAGTACTGTAAAATCTTTGTGTGCAATTAGGTATTTACAGGGCCTCATGTTAGTGATTTTCAATGATTATTACAATAATGTCACACACTCTCAACATAGGACATGGCTTAAGATAAATATATTAGTAAATAAATATTCTGAGAACATATTTCCATAAATGAAATGTGCTGCTATACATATACAGAATATATACAAGATGTTTTGTAGCTTTTAAAACATTTTTTAAATGGTAATGAAGGAGAAAGAGCCCTTAGACCATATTACAAATTTTACAGCAAATTTTATACAAAACAATTTTAAGTGCTATAAGATAACTTTAATTAAAAAGATTTTAAATAGTGCCTCATGAGCCAAACACAATGACAACTGTTCATATAAGTAGTAGAAAGGCATTTTGTTATAAAATCACTTGTCCTGGCCAGCTGGCCTATAAATCTGTACGGACACATAGGTAGCAGAGAATTAATAAAATGTTAAATATAAAACCGAACATAGAAACCAAGTGTAGGGTATCTTTATGGTAAGGCCTATAGAGATTATTGTACTAGCAGAGATTTCCATGGCATGTGAATTAAACAGGTATGTCCAGGAACATCGTAAGCCAGAACATGCCAATAGCTTTTTTATACTGCATTTTACAACAACATGCTGTGGAGTTATAGAGTACAATGCATCTTAGTGGCCTTAGTGCTTCACAGTACACCAATTAGGATAACCAAGGTAAAATACCATAGCTTCTATAAAGGTTTTCTTAATGAGCAGGAGTAAGGCAAGACAAAAAAAAAAAAAAAAAAAAAAAACCAAAAAAAAAAAAAAAAAAACAACTTCAGAGTTTCTACTCCCAAAACATACCCTTTACTATCGCCATCAAGTGAAGGAATAGCTTTTCTTTAGGTTTAAACTCTGAAAAGGTGTTTAATGTAATTTTAATTTTATACCTGGGAATTATCTTGCATTATTTCTCAGAACAGCTGAGAATTCAGAGAGGTCTAATGTGTGTTCCTTTAAATGGTCTTATTTTTACTCTATTGAGCACTAAAAGGAAACATTTTTTGTTGCTATTTCTTCGGTGTTTGCTTCTTTTGAAGTATTTCATTTGGGATTTTTCTGGTTCTTATAATTAGTCCAGTGATATCAAGGACTTTGTTTTGGTAGAAAATGTAATGGGAAGTACACATCTCCTCTTAATATCTTTTAAATATCTTCAAATGGATTGAACTTTGGAAAAAACTTTTCATAAGACTGACACTATGAGTATTA